CCCTCCTGACTGACAAAATATGCTACTTCCTGAGGGAGAAATGTCTGTCACCATAAAATCCAGGGACCCACAAATTCAAGTGAGTAAGAGCCCATGGAAATCTGGGAGCACCAGCAGGATGTAGTGCTGTGATGTGCAAGGCTGGTACTGATGTTTATGCCAAGAGGTAGAGGAACATATGTATAAGAAATGCAAGGCTGCCTGGGAATCCTTGCAGGGAGTACAAGGCCTCAATATGAGCCAAGGGTTCTGGTCCTCAAAAAGGGAAGATCGTCCACTGTTGTTTGCACCTCTTCTGGTAAGTCTGCAGATCCGGAGCTTTGATTACTTGAGTACTCCCCTCATGATTACTGCAGTAACCATTGAACGGGTGGCCCTATCTGCAGTGTCTAAGGTTGGCTGTAGCGAGAGCTGGCCTCTTAGGGATGGGCAAGGTGGGTGATTGCCCATGGTGCCATGGTTAGGGGAGTGCCAAACACACACAAGCAACCCATGCTCACAGCAGTACTCTCCTCCTACCCTGCCTCACTCCAGTCAATCCCCACCCCAGGCAGGGGGAGTGGTGCACAGCCCACCCCGCCTCCAGCAGCTACTGAGGGAGCTAGGCTGGGTGATACCTACTCCAGTCCACCTGCCTTACTTCCACACAGCAGCCATGGCACCTCTCCAGCAATCCATGCCACTCCACTTCTCTGCCAGACTACACACCACACCCCTTCCCGTTTGCTTCTGCCTGCAGCATTGCCACCAACTTGGGAGGTAGGGGGCCAAAATACAAGTTTGCTCAGGGCACCATTTTTCCTGAGGCCAGCCCTGTCTGTATAATTTAGGCCTCCAAGGCTGCAGCCAGATGTGCAGTATGTGGTGCTGCAGACCCATCTGCAACACCAGACACCACACACATAGGCATGCCCACAATGCTACTTTGCAGTGTGGGGTTGGAGGCTGACCCTGGGAGATCCAGGGATCAAAAAAACCCACGCAAAAAAAAACAAGTGGGGACACATGGCAGCAGCAGGCACCACCCAAAACAGGAGCCTGGATGGCCAGAGCCACACTCTGGCTACTAGCCAGGCTCTCAGCTGCAGGACACCACAGCTGCAGCTGCAGCTCCCCCAGGACCCCTACTAAGTCTGCTGGGGCCAGCACAGTGGCTGGCCCCAGCCTCCCACACCCCACCTGTGGTAACCTGCCATGCACCAGAGTGCACGTGGCATGGGCATTCCCTGGGGACAAGCAGCAGTGCTACAAGGTGCTTTGCTGCTACTCATCCTTGGGGAAACAAACACCTGCACTCATCTGGATGTGGCTCCAATGTCCCTCTGACATCAGATAAAGGAGAAGGTCTATCTGATCCTCCACCAAAACTGCAATCTGCTCAAAGATTTCCAAACCATAGCAGGTTGATAGAGCTCAGTAAGTGCCAGCTCTGAACTGCAAGCTTGGTAACAAAGAATCATACCCCAAAGTGTCCAGCCTCCTTGGTTATTTTTCCTCGAGGACAAACTTGCATTACCTCACATTTTCTTTGGCTACCAGCAACCACCAAGAAAGGGAAGCATGTGAATAGAAATACTCTGGTACTTCTTCCCATCCTTTTGTCAGCAGGCAAGTGCAATGCCATGTGACACCACCAGCTTGGTGTGATCCATTGAAGTCACTGATGGGGAAATGTCACTTTAGGTGTCTGAGGGTGGTGAACGTCCAGCAGATAAAGTACAGTGGAGTTCTCGGAAGCACTGTGGGGCCCCTTACCATCCTTCTTAGACAGTTAGGACAGGCATCCATGTTTCCCAACAAGAATGGTGCACAGGAAAGTTAAACTAAGTGGGATGGAGTAGACCTCCCACAAGGCATCCCGAACCATTTCTGCTCTTGGACAGCAAATACAAACAATTATTGAATAACTAAAAGTAGTGTCCAAGGTCTTTATGGGAAAAGGTTAAACTAAGGGTAAAAACTGTAGGTAAGCAAGCTGCTGCTGCTGAAGTTTTGGGGTCATTTATTTTCCACAGGCATCTTGTGTCCCCTAGCAAGAAGGGTGCGTGGGAAACAGCTGGAAAAAGGCTGTTGTCATCCTTGAGGCCATTATCCTTAGCAAAGGATAGCACCTTTAAGTTTGGCTCTCATGGTGACCAGATTTCTTATGCTTACTGGAGGAGGCAGCAGCACCAGAAATTCATGTACACACCCAATGCAAGACCCAAACCCATATTTACTTACAGTGCTGACAAGCCAAAGGATGCCAGCAGAACAGCAGAACCTAGGGCACCAAAGGAGGATGGACCTGGCTTGGTTCTGGGATTTTTAGATGGGTCATCCAGGCGTTCTCATGGACTTCTGGGGAACAGAGGTCCATGAAATGCTATGGGTTTTGACATAGGAGCTGTGTCAAAGCCTGTCTCTTAATTGAGAAACCTATCCATGTCCCTTAGGAAGAAGGGTGCCTGGGAAACAGCCAAACCAAACCACACCACTATGGGAAGCCAGAAAAAATGACAGTACCAGATGACCACCTGTCACCAAAGCACTAAGGCCAAATATGGAGACAGAACACCTAGTCCTTACAGTTGTGTCTTTTTCAGTTGGTTCCAGGAAGGAATAAGTGGTAAGAGCGGTGCAATATTGGTTCATTTGGCCCTTAGCACTGCCTATGGACCATATGAAACATCATTCTGTTGGACAGCCTTGGAATGATCCAGTGGTACTTGTGCCTCAGTGAAGATCTGTCTCCTAGAAATGATGCAGGTCAGACAAACTCCAAGCCTGCTTGATGACAAAGAAATAGGCTCTCAGAGTAGGAAGATTCATACTTGCAAAGTGAGGAAGCAGGTCATCTTGCTACTCTAGAGAAGTTCCTGTAGGGCAGGATCTCAAGCAGAAAAGCCATACCAAGGGAGGAAAGTAAATACAGGAAGGTCAGATGACTTCCAATGCTAAGGCAACTTTTCAATTCTAGTTCCAATGCTGGACCCCATAAGATTTATATCAGAAGAACGTAGGAAGCTTCCTCTTCAGTCTGTCTTGGTCCTTCATTTAAGAAGGGCATACATAGGTTGCACCTTTCCAGGATAAGATTCACTGAGACAGTACAAGCTTTAAATGGTACTGTCTGAGGCAGGGATAACTCCACTATAGCAAGAACAGTTATGAAACCCCCACAGCTCTGGTGTTGGCAACAAAGAAAGCAAAAGATACGTTTTGTATCTAAGTGGTAGAAAGTTTTCAAGAACAGTCACTGTGGAAAAATGACCTCCAAAATGGTAGTGCCATATGGTGCAGCCAGGAAGAGAGAAATGAAAACAAAAAGGGAGGGGGGGAGGGAACTAAAGGATATGTTGCATATTTCTATTTCTCAGCTATTGGTAAATACCAGTCTTTACAACAAGGAGATTGAAACAGAGTCCTCTTCTATTTCTAACGTTCCATGTTTAAAAGCTTGAACATAATACACATTCATTTTAGGATAAAAAAAAGAGAGGGAACAATATGAATGTAACAATTCATTGGAACATAGCACAGTTCTTAACAGAAACTGATCTACAGTTATCCCAGGGGGAAAAACAGCACTAAAAACACTGTGAAAAGTTGTACCCATGTAGGTGACTGTTCACAGTTATCAAAGTATGGGAGTTTGCTCAGGACAAACTGTCACCTGCTGCCCTGACACCCTATCATAAGGTACTGTATTGTGATAGCTACCATGGAAAGACTGGCTGTCTGCCTGCTCCAGTTCCCAGTGTAATTTATATGGGTTTATAACACCAAAGCATATTACATAGGCACTAACATGTCCAGGCCCTAAACATTCTTTGAAGAGACTGTTTTTAATTGCTAGGTTCCTTTAAAGGCAGTTTTAGATATATAGGTATATGTTTAGTAGACACTCGTAAGGGAGCGAAGCAGGTGCCGAGCTTGGAGGGACCCCGAGTCAATGCAACCCAACGCTGCTCGCGTGGTGTGGCCGGCGACGAGCGGCGGGAATTTGAACTCTGCAGGAACCTGGAAGTGGGAGGCGCTGGGGCAACCTGGGCCAATTCAAAGGGAGCACTGGTGCGGGCTCCAAAGAGGACGGGTCCAGAGGCAGCGGAGCCGGGAGCAGCGGCATCAGGTGCAACAAAGGCCAGAAGCACCGCTGGAGTGAAGGCGCCCCAGCGGACCAGGGCCATTGGAAGGAGCAGCAGGACCTTTTGGGGTAAGCGGGACCCCGAGACAGGGATCCGTACCCTGGGAAGTAGACGTAGTAAGGTTGAAGAAGCAAGAGTGCCACAGGGTGCGGCACTCTTTGGGGTTTTGTTGTTCTCCCGCCCTGGCGGGGGGTCGGGCTAGAAGATCTACTAGGTCCCTTCCGACCCTAAATCTATGAAACTATGAGTCCTGTAGGGATCAGGTCCGAGGCAGAGGGACTGTGGGGCAGGCTCAGTGGACCAAGCATTCCCCGCCTTCCTTTTCTTTTTGGGGTTTACGGCTGGTGAACCGCTTGGGCGGAGCTGCTTGGAGCGGGTGAAGACCCAGAGGGGAGCAAGGACTCCTGAACCTGGGCCAAGGTGTGGGGCGGATGTACCACCCCCGAGGGACCCTTGGTCGGGATTTTCCTTTCTTCTATGGACTACATTTTATTTATTTTGGCGGGTCCACAGTCCACATGAGTAAAAGAGCAGGACAGGGCAGACAGCTCCTACCGGAGGACCGGGCGAGGGTGTAGGGGTGGAGGAGCCCTTAGGACAACGGGACCCTGAAGAGGACGAGAGTCTCATCCCCAGACTGCACGTGCCGTACCAACTGGACAGATATAGATTAAAAGCAAGTTGTGGCAGGCGAGACAGGCGCATACGCACGTCCGAGCTGGGGAGTCACTCCTAATCTTGTAGGGAACTGCCCCTTTTCAGGGACTTGGGCCGAGGGGGGGGACCCAGCCCCAGTTGGGATTCCCTCACAACACTACAGGGATGATTCCTATATACTGAAAATATATTATTCACAAAAACAAAATATGAACGCACTTTTAATATGTCAACTTTATTTCTGAATTTACTCAGTTTAAAATAAATACATCCATTTTTAGCAATGCAAAAATAAAATACATTTCTCTTTGTGACAACAAAGTGCAGTAATGTAAGTTAGGACATGATGGTTTTACCATAGAAAATGTCAACTCTTAATTTAACATGAAAGTAAAAAATCCATCTGTAAAACAAGCACCATGATCTATCTTACAAATGATTGTACATGAAAGCAGCATTGTAGGTAAAAAAGAAGAGGGAGTTAAGAGAATGTGCTATCAAAATGTCAATAATTTAGTTTAATCATTAGGATGACTATTCTCCAGCTCTCTCAAGAGCTTCACCACATAGTCGAATACCAAGAATGCTACATTTGTCTGTATGCACAACCAACAGAGCTTCAAATCTGCCTGCTGACTTCGGCTTGAACTGGACTGGCAGGTTAATATAATGCAGGGATCTGTGAAAAGGCAAAGTGTGTTTACAGCATTAGTAATCTTGCTGACTAAATTCTACTGGGTATTTCATTTCCCCATTTTGACTGCTTTTTATGAAGATCTCAACAAGTAAGGTCAACTTCATGTCATCTCCCCGCTGCCTTTTCTTTTGGTGTTAGAAATATGAAATTGCTGCTGTCCCACCAGAGTTTGTTAACAGCCATTTCTATCTTAACTAAAGAAGCTCATTCCCAGCTTTTGGTAGAACATTAAACATAAGCCCTACTGAAAGTAGTAATATAGCCTGCTTTTACTTCGGAAGTTTTTTTTGCAAATGTACATACGATTTGTCACTGAAGGGGAACTTGTTAATTAAATTGTTAATTCTGTCTGTCTGAAGGGTTTCTACAGGAACAAACATCCATATCAAACCCAGTTATAAGCAATACAACGATCTTGAAAAAAAGAGTAATTCCAACTGATTTGAAGAGGTGTAATATAGAACTTCTTAATTATTAAAATCACAAATTGAAACTTAGCAGTAGTATGTACCACATATTCAAGGGACAATGAAGTAGCAAATACATGGTTCTACCAGTACTAGCCAACTGCCTGTCAAGAATGACCAGGGGTAGAAGTGGGGAGGGGGCTGGGATATAGTGCCGCCACCCAACGTCCCATGCTGCCGCTGTTCTGCCTCTGGCAGCTCCACTCCCCCACCCCCTGTCCAGTCCTTGGCACCACTTGCAGGGAACAGGGTGGGGGAGCAAGACCAGAGCTGCTGGCCTCAGCTCCCCACCCTCTGTCCAGTCCTCGGTGCAGCTTCAGAATAATGGCAGTGCTCCCCCACACTTGGATTGACTGTTCCTGTCAGCCAATCAGAGTGTGAATAAAGTGACAGACAGACAGACAGACAGACAGACAGACAGACAGACAGACTTAGGCTTTTATAATATTAGAATTGAGGTTTCTGCTGGACACTGAATAGTCCATAGCTAATGACAGGACTCTGCCCAGCTCTATGAGGGCAAAGGGTTTGGCCCAGGGCAAGTTAGTGCTACAGGAGATAAAAACCTGGGAAAACACATTCTGCCTTTCCACAACAAGCTCTGTGTCTTATTTGGAGGCACTGTATGCAAGTAAGTACAGTATCTTAAATGTCAATACAAGGTCATCAAATTAGAAGGATCATAAAGGCAATCTACTTGGTCTGTTGTGTAGAAATCAACGTGGGAAAGAATTAAATGTCAAGAATTAAATATACAGTATATGAAACAGTTAAATAAAACATTAAGTTTTATTTAATGCAGCAGTATTATCTGAAACTAAATGCAGGGAAGAAATAAGCAAACTAAGTAATTTGATGGACTTTGAGACTTCTTTTGAAAGAATTGTAAAAAAAAAAAGACTGCTGCAAAAACAGACATCTTCATTGGAAGGCAAAAGTGTTAACGCTTCTACCCTCAATAAAATTCAGTCTAAACTTTATCGTGACAGGTTTACACTATACAGAACTTTACCTTACTGTATACCTTAGGATTTAAAATCAACTTATTTATTAAAATAAACTTAAAACAAACTTTTTATGCTAAAAGTTTTAGCATACACAACTCACCTCAAAGAATATTTTGAGTGCTTGATGTAGAAAGGCTCTCTGGGACTCTCAAACTTCAGCTGCAATTTAATATGAATCATTAAAACGAAAAAACACATGCAGGCACTATTACATATGTTTTGAATTGAGCTCTAAATCACAGTTTCAAAATACAGATTTGGGTAGAATGAGAGAACATCAAGGTTTAAGACTAGAGCCACAGCTCTATACACAAGTCAATTAAAAAAAAAAACAACAACACATACTACACATAGTACAACTGAATTATATTTAAGAAAAAAACCCCAAAACAAACTAGAGAGCATATTAACAACCTGAATCTATTAGAAGATGAAAGGTGATCATTTAGACATGCTACCAGGCAAAAGAAAAAACTTGAAAGCACTGTAAGAGACACAAAGTAAGTGTTCTTTGAATACAAACATCTTGGATATGAAGTCTAACTAACAGTTCTAACATAGATTGCATTAATATGACCATCTTGAAACAAAATTCTTAAGACGCTAAATTCCTGAATACCATATTTACTCAAATCCAAAACAAGGCTTTTCAGTCCATTCAATGTGGTGGAAAAAGCACCCCCATCTTGGCCTGGAGTAAAAGGCAGAAGGACAAGTGGCTGTGGCTCTGGTGCCAACCCAAAACTTGGGGTTGTAACTGCAGCTGCAGTCCCCCCAACAGCCTCTGCCCACTGTCCTTCCTGCCAGTTACCATCAGCTGCAGCTCCAGCCCTGGGCACTAAGTATATAGTGTCTCTGGCCAGGAAGGTGCACTTATACTGGCAGTAGCTCCAGCCTTGGCTCAGGTCTTAAATTCAAAATAAGCTTGGATTACTTGGTAAATGCACAGTATCATAAAGAGAAGCAAGTGAGTAGACAGTGCATTTAAAAGCAACTTAAAATGCTTTGTGACTTGCATAAAGTTTTAAAGAAAGAAGTTTCAAACTTACCATATGCGTTATAAAAGAATTATTTCGTAAGTTGACTTTTAACGTGGATGATTCGCCAACTCTGGTTGGAAGAAATGTATAGAGGTCTTCTGGGGCATACACACCTCGAATTACCTCATTTCGCCTGCTTTTTAAAAAAATGATTTAAATCATTATGTTCCTTACTTACAGTAGATGGCCTGCATACACTGACTGTATGCTTTGAGATCATCAACATTAAGAGCTCAAAGTAGTTTTTCTGCAAGGTAAAAGCTGTAGGATATTGTCAGTTTTAAAAGCTACACTAACAATGTAGCTAATAAGGGCCTTTCTGAGAATGAAGGCCTTTGGGCACATATTAGGACCTTGACACACTTTTGTAGAGCTACAAAGAAAGATCACTATGGGGCACGCAGCTCCACAACTGTGGTGCAACAAAGTCATGAAAGACCCACTCTCTAGCCAAGGGCAAAAAGAGCTACTCCTTGGCTCCTCCTGCCCCTAGAAAGCCTGTCAGTGGGTAGGGCACTATGGCAACAGTTAGAGGGACTGCATGCAAGTCACTAGTGGCAGAACAGGCAGTCTCTGCCACCTGATCAACCCCTGCCATAGCTGCAGTCCTGTCAGCAGCTGCCACTGTTAACAATAGGTGAAAGGGCTGCCTGCACATCACCCATTGTGCCAAGGGCTGACAGACAGCAGAGACACCTGCTCTATCACTACCATCCCTGCTAGAATGCCACACACTTCCCAGGGCTCTGGCAGCAGTGGCAGGTGTTCCTACAGCACTGCTGGTGCTCCCATAGGACCAGCAAAACCTGGTAGCAGAGTCCCTGCATGGCTCCCTTGCAGCTCACTGGCTAGGTGGTCTAGCAGGTAACTAGCCCCTTTCCTTCCCCCACATGGAAGTAGGGCAGGGCTGGTGGAGCACTATGCAATACTGGGAACCTCTGAGACCTATGCAGACACCAAATGTGTCAGAAAAAAGGTCAGGTATGACCAAAGTTCCTGTTTGAAACAGCAACTGTTTTGGTTGGGGATGTCATTTTTGTGATTAATCCTCCATTTTTTTTTTTAGAATGGCAAACAGCACTAACTTGTGGACACTCATTTTTTGTTGAGCTGAAACAGCACAGCAGCCTAAAAAATATGAATCAAAAGGTCTTAGCTGAACTTTGTCAGTTTCAACTGAAAGGACTGCAGTGACCAAAAGAAAAAGAAGTTGGTCATTCACACATTTTCACATCTTGGGTTTGCGCTCATACACTTTACTGAAGAACAATTCACTTCTTTCAGGAAGTGAACTTGTGTTTAAACAGGCATCAGTTTGCTTCTCTAAAGAAGACAATAGATATTCAATGTCCTTTGTCAACTACTTCCATCTCTGAACACTGAAGAATGATAAGAGGGAAACCCCCCTTTATTTTTTTGGAAGAAAAAAACTTGAAGGAAAAGTGTACAAGCTGACAGTCTACATTCCACAGCAGCAAACAGTACTCAGACAACTTAGCATTTGATTAATGTGAACAAAAAAATATAGGACAACTGCTTATGTGTAGCACATGGCGCATCATAAGAGGTCTGCAACACTGCTCTCCTGTTTGCTCTCTTTTTAAGAAAACTATACATACCCTGTTTTGAAGGCAGAAGCTTCAGAAACAGCTCTTCTTCTGGAAGAAACTGGAATTTCAGTTTTTATTAGGGTATCTGTGGAAATTTTTGCATTCAGAACTTTATTTTCAGTTTTGGCTCCCTGTTCATAAAAAATAGCCTTTAGTTAATATCCAACTCCCCTGAAAAATAAAGTAATATTTATACACATAACAAATTATAGCTTAATATTTTAGCCCCTCTCCCCTTTGTTGAAAGGTATTAATTTAGAATTTGTGTTGCAATTAAATATTCTAGAAGAGTTCTCTTATTAATATACTCTAAAATGGTACATGACTTCTGTGGAAGTAGTGAATGACTGCAGTAGTGTGAAGAGGAGCAGCTATGGGAGCAGCCCCAGGCACCGTCTTTACACAAAAGCAGTTATTATGCAGGGGCAGTGGTGCTACAACAATCAGCATGGCAAGTGTCAGTGCTGCCCTGGGCACTATACAGCTGCCACAAGAGCAGAGCTGCACTGTTACACCTCTGAATGATCACATCTCTTGATAACGTCAAAGCAGTAAAACTATTCCCAGAGTGGTGGTAATGGATCTGTTTAGGCAGTTTAAACAGCAGGCTGCCCTCTAGGGCAAGGAACAGACTGTCAAAAGCCTGAGGCTGAATCAATTCAATCTTCACAGATTAGTCTAAACTGCATAAATTGAACTGATGAGCTGGGATCCTGGTTTTCTCTGATAAAAAAGTGGCAAATTCTCCAATAAAAACCCCAAAATGCATGATTAGAATTAGAGGACCCCCCCGCAACCCTGCTCATGTCTCACTCCCCCTTGCCCCACCCACAGCCTTGCTGGTGCCCCTTGCCCCCCCACCCACAGTGGGCCCCAGCTGCCAGGGCTATAAACTTGGGTCTGCAGCCCCCTGCCCCTGTTCCCCCCTTCCACGGGCTCAGGCAGGGGTGGCACCCCACCACTGCACACACTCTTGGGGGGCGGGGGGACCCCACCCCAGCCCAGCTAAGCACCCAGGGGTGTGGGACCAGCTGCTCATGCCATAGGGCTGGAGGGCCACTCAAGGAGTTTTGGTGAGCTGTTGTGGGCAGGGCAAGGAAGGTTACCCGGCACAGCAGGGGTGCTGACCCAGTCCACAACAGCTCACTAAAACTCCCTAAGTGGTCCTCCAGCCCAAATAACTGCCCACCCCTGGCTTAACTGCTCTAAGATCTAGTAATATAGTTTGGTTTCTGTTAATTTCCACAAGTTTCAAGCAGTCAAGTGATCTAA